AGGAGTGGCTGGTGGATTTGAACTGCCAGCCTTCTGGTTAGCAGTCAAGTGCCTTAGGCACTATGCTACCAGAGCTCCTAAACAAGTATTGGATAAAGAATGAATGAAGGATGACTTTGTAGCATGAAGAACTTGGTCAGAGAGAGTGATGCAGTTGTGGGGGGCAGGGTACATGCCATAGGCCTCTCTAAGTGGATCTCCTATTTTGAGAATGAGTTTGAGGTTACCTTTAGCCCACACTGGTTTGGTGTTGGACTAAACTAGAGAGCGAATAAACTAAAATTGAACCTGTTGCCATCGAATTGATTCTGATTTATGGTGAACCTATGTGTACAGAGCAAAACTGCTCCATAGAGTTTTCTTGGCTGTAATCTTTACAGTATCAGATCACCAGGACTTTCTTCTGTGGCACTGCCAGGTTGGTTTGAACTGCCAACCTTTAAATCAGCAATTGAGCACAAACCATTTGTACCACCCAGGGACTTAGAGACAAATGGAGCTTATTCATTGCCTGCCCTTGATTTATATGCTGTTGACCCCTAAAAACAAGGACCTTCATATTCTCCCTGACCTAAACTAGCCCTGAATCAATTTTCTAAGCCTATCACTGCACCATAACAATAATAATAAACAATAAGGATCAGGATGCTACAGAGGGGCGGTGAGTGAGGAAACCATCCATCTCTCCTATATCTAGTGTGTACTTCCTTGAGTCTCAAACCAAAAACCAAACTCACTGCCATTGAGTCAATTCCGACTCTTAGCAGTCCCTATCAGGTTTCCAAAGCTTTATATTTTTACGAAAGCAGAGGGCCTCATCTTTCTTCCACAGAGCAGCTGGTGGGTTGGAACTGCTGACCTTCTGGTTAGCCACCAAATACCTTAAGCACTACATTGCCAGAGCTCCTTGCCTTGAGTTTAGTGGTTAAAAAAATATGAGCTTTGGAGTCAAAGAGACCTGGGTTCAGATCTTAGGCAAGTTTCTTGGTCTCTCTACATCTCACTTTCCCTGTCTATAAATTGAGGATGATGATAATGAATTGTTTATGGAGTTGGTATAGTTTAAATGACATGATGTATGTCTATCTCAGCACAGTGCCTGATATATACTAGATGCTGAATTTTGATAGCTTTCTTGAGGCTGAATTACACTGCTGGTCTTTGTCTCCCCTTCTTCAGTTACATCATAGGCTGTTAGGGAAGGACCTCAGAGGTCATCTGGGCCACCATTCTACTATATGCCACAAACTGCTGCCCTAGGGAACCCTAGGGAATAGTCATCTATCTGCTTAGCTGTTTGGGTGAAGGTGAGATCTTTGGTTCCTGCAAGGGAAGCATATCCACTGAGTTTTAGAAATTGGATATCTCTTGGAGGAGTGGATGGAGTCTGGGAAGGAAGGGGACCAGACAGTTGTGCCTATAATTTTCCAAACCTGGTGACGTGGAAATTTGCTCTGATGTGAGAGTGCATGGAAGCAGGCATGGCAGGGAATAAGATAACACTTGAGCATCTTAAGTCTTCATTTAAGCCTGAAGACCCTTTGCAAAGCAATTCACGCCCTTAAGGATTTTATAAGTTTCCATGTGAAGTCAAAAGAGCTGTGGTGGCATATTGCCTAAGACATTTGACTGCGGTTCAAACCCACCAGCTACCATAAAGATTTACTACCTTGAAAACCAGTGGGGGTCGCTATGAGTCAGAACTGACTCAATGGCAGTGGGTTTGGTTTGGTTTTATGTGAAGTCAGTTTTGGGGGATAGCACTTCCCACCTGTCTGCTTGGACTTGACCAGTGCCCTGGGGACATATACATGGGCTGTGAAAACCTATCTCACCTGGCTCTCAAAAATCTTTTTATTAAAAAATCATCCTTTTTGTTAAAAAAAAAAAAATCATCTTTTCATCCCTCCCCTCAGAGAGCCCTTTCAAATGTTAAGTCAGAGACAGCAGGTTAATTAAATACCTCATGGTCTCCTCAGTTCCCCATAAACCCAGGTGTCCTCATGGTTAAGACACAGCTGCTGCTGTCACACTGGTTAGTTGGCGGCTCATTTGGGTGTCTACAGAAATGCCTTTAAGCTTAGAGTTTCTGATCAGGTAACACAGTTTCTTTAGTTTCCATCATAGATTTGCCCCTAATCTCCCACATGAATGATGCTCAGGGAGTGTGAGGGTGCTTGGATGCCCAGGAAATAAAACCATAGCAGGCTAGGCCTTGAATGGCAGAGCTGGGGGAGTGACTGTTTTGGCCTGCACCTCTCAATAGTTTCATGTGAGCCCAGGCTTCTGGGTAAAAAGGTGTCTCAGAACATCAGTCTCAAAAGCTGTTATTACCTTTGAACTGCCCTCCCATTTCTTCAGCTACACAGCATAAATAACAATTATGATGGTGACCCAGACACCTGCACTATGAGGTACAATAGGTGTCACTTCACTTGGATGAGTAGAAAATTTCAGGGTAGAAAGATACCCATGAAATAGCCATCTAGAAAACTAAGGGAGACAAGGGTAGGAGGCACAGGGGAGTTTGGTAAAAAGACATCTCCTATTTAGAGTGTCTTTCCGGATGGAGAGCATCCAAGATCCCACTGAGAAATGAAATGTCAACCAGATGCCCTGAATCTCACGAGATCCGCCTCACTCCCCCTGGCCTCAGCTCCTTCCTCCTTCACTGCCCAGAAAGAAGCAGGAAATGATTTCCAGGGAAGCAGTGAGTAGGGCCATTACTCCCCTTGTTGATGCCAAATGGAAGTAAACTTTCTGGGATGATGGGACCCAAAATCATGTGGTCAGATGGGGAGAACAAGAACAGCGTCATGATGTTGCTATCCATTTTACTCTGAGATATTGCTGCTCTTAGGGAATCATTGAGTTCTATGTTTACCACCCCTCCCTTACCCTTTGGTTAATAACACTGATAAAACCCCCAGAGAAAAGGGCTCCAAGTAGGTGAAAGAAACAGAATGCCTCTGTTCAGCTTCACCACCCTTTGGAGCCAGCAGGCTATGGGGGAGACAAGATTTAGGGCTAGCTCTGTATGCCCATGGGCAGGTGTCCTGTGTGATTTGGGGCCAGCTTCCCCATTAATGAAAGCCCATTAAGCACTCTCCCAAGAATACTGAGGTAGCTAAAGACTCTGTGTTTGTTAAGCACTGAGTGTCCTCAGGGACAGGTGTGCTACATAAATACAAGGTGGTTTAATTATTTTAACAATCCACTGATACCATCTGACGAGCAACAGTAGGTCTAGGGTTTCATTCCCTCTGTTGCAAATGATGTTCAAGAACATCTGTTTAACACACTCCCTTCTCTTTCCACCACCCCCACTGGCACAGATCCATATGTCAAAGTGTCCCTGCTTTGTGACGGGCGGAGGCTAAAGAAGAAGAAAACGACTATAAAGAAGAATACTCTCAATCCTGTCTACAATGAGGCCATCATCTTTGACATTCCCCCTGAGAACATGGATCAAGTCAGTCTGCTCATCTCAGTTATGGATTATGACCGGTAGGTACAGGTCCCAGAGAGGCAGGATTCCCCATCCTTCACTCCCAGTCCATACAACACAGGGCTCCTTGACCTTGGACTTTGTGGTTCAGGGCTCAGGTGCACATTGGCCTCCAGTTTGGCTCCACAAGAAACACTGAAGAGTGTAAGGAGAGCATGGATGCCCCCTAATTGGAGAGCTAAAGCTTCCCTTCCTAGCTGACCTGTTCTCATCAGGGGCAGCTCCACCTACCAGTCTCCATGGATTCACCTCCAACTATTCCCATTCTTCCATCTGACACTGAGTCCTATCATCTGTCCTTTAAAATGTCTCTCTAGCCTCTCCATTTCTGCTTTTGCTGCTATTCTCACTCTGAGATGGCCATGCTAGCTGACCCCTCTCTCCAGGAACTCCCTGCCTCAATTCAGCCACATACTAAAGGTATGTCTTCCTAAAAGACCACATTCTTCCTTGCCCTGACCTTCTCAAGAACTGACAATGGCTCCTGTTGTTCAGGTAGTTCCTCTGGACTCTTAAGTCCGTCTTCTATAATCTGGACCCAGCATACCCACCCAACTTGATTTCTCTTCTTCAGGTATACTTCCTCTCTTCCACATATTTAAATCCTGCTCTTCCATCGAGGCCAGTCAAGAATGTTTTCCAACTACATCAGCCCCCACAACTTCTCTCCAGTTGCCACTTTAGGTGAAGATGAAAGAAACCATGCTGTTGTTGTTGTTATGTGCCGTGGAGTCGGCCCCGACTCATAGCGACCCCTCCTTGCAGTAAAGCCTTAATTCAGGGTTTTTAGCACAAATTCATGGGAATAGTAGGTGCTGGGTGAACATATTTAAGTGGTGATTGATGTCCTTACTGAGCAATAAATCAGATCCCAGCTGCTGGGGGATGGAGCAATGGTGCTCAAAACAGTGTGATTCTTTCCAAATGCAATGTTTCAAGCAAGGCTGTGATGTACTGGTTAAGTCAAATAAGGGAGGAGACTTAAACACTCCCGTCCCCAAAGTCAGGCCATCTGCCCACCATTTCCAGAGATTCCAAACCTTTTGCTCATCTGTCTGTGTCCAAAGTCCACTCAAGGAGGCTGGGCAAAGCTCCATTACTGCTGGCACCCCAAGGCTCTGCTGAGCATTTTTCAGAGCTCAGAGTCCTGTGTTAGACCTGCTGGGCAGAGTCCCAGACCTTAGGACCCCCTTTCTGAGAACATGTCTGGTCACCAACGCCAGGCTCTTTGTTTCTCCCTCAGCGTGGGCCACAATGAGATCATAGGAGTCTGTCGTGTGGGGATCAATGCTGAAGGCCTGGGCAGAGACCACTGGAATGAGATGTTGGCATACCCACGGAAGCCCATTGCACATTGGCACTCCTTGGTGGAGGTAAAGAAATCCTTCAAAGAGGTGGGTGAGGTCGCGCTTGGCCCTTGGCATGTTTGCTGCATGGCCGCATTGGCTGGAGAATGGCAATCAGCTTCTGTGAGACCCTCGGCCTTTCACAGAGAGGGAGCATGTGAGCACATGTGTCTCACTCAATGTGTGACCTGCAGAAAGGAAATGGAGGAAGAAGGTGAGGAGCTGCCTGGCAAACAGCCCCTGGTGTTGGGCATTATTGAAAGCAAACTGAGTTCTTAATGGAAAATAAGAACTTTGAGGAATCCTTCCCAGCAGCTCCACTGTGCCAGGCCTGGAATGCTTTCACAAAACCCCTGGGCTAAGTTCCTCTTGTAAGAGAAAACCCCACGGGGGTGAGATCAGAACTTGGCAAGAAATTCTGTCCCTATTGAGCTGTAAGTTTTTTGAGGCTCAGGCCAGTCAGCTTGGATGGAGATCACCATTAGGGGAAAGATAGGATGGTCTCATAGCGCCACACTTTTTGGTGACTACTCTTTTGTCAAGGGACCAGATCTAACAGAGACGTAATGAAAAGAGGACTGACTTGGGAGTCCTGAGACTTGGGTTCCAATCCCAGCCCCACTTGACTTGTTGTATGACCTTGAGCCAGTCACTTCCCTCTCAAATGCTAAAATAAAAGTCCCTTCAAGTGGTATTTGCAGTCTTCCCTGCCTTCCATCAAACCCTATTACTTTCTACATCCTGTGACATATCATTTTGATGTTCCCTAGGCCTGCTTTCTCTCAGATGGTCAGAATGGGAATGGCCAGGCAAAGCCTTAAACCCCATTTTCACCAATCTCATCCTTCCCAGTCTACATCATAGAAATCTGGGAGATTATTTGCTCATCTTAATAGTCTTCAAGCCTAGGAAGTCTAGATAGCTGTATAAAACTGGAAAATCTAATAGTAATAAAGCATCATCCTTTCCACACATCACCCCTCAGCTTTAAAACAGAGTCTTCTCCTCCCCACACTCTGTGATGCAGAAAAAGTGTGAGTGGGAAACTCAGAGGATCTGCAGTTTCTTCCTCCTCAGGTGGACAAGCTCATTTCCACCTGTTTCCAGCAGTGACACTGAGAGCTTAGGGGATTGGATGCGTGGAATCCTGTGGGAAAGAGAGAAGCCTAGGAAGACCCAGGGTAATTGATTTACCTCTCAGGTATGCATGTGCTTTGCAAAGCCTTCCTACACTGCGACCTTGGAGGCCCCCATCAAGGAGTAAGGCAGAGATGCAAAGTTTCTCTGAATCTGAGCCTCATGTTTCTGCCTGGGGTTGCCTTGATTTTGCCATAGCTGTGGAGCTTTCAAGTGTAAGCCCAATCTCAGATCTCTAGCTAGCTTCTCCAAAGGAGCTACTGCTCATATGTCACGAAGTCTCTTTTCCAGAAGGCCCTCTCTGCAGAGTGTGGTGAGGTACAAGGGACCACCCTCCACTTACATAGGAGGCAGCTACTGGGCAAGACATAGATGACTTGGAGCCAACATCTGACCCCTTATTGACCACAGTGTAGATTCAACCCAGGGTGGGTGCTATGCAACCTCTCTCCCTCAACTCCTCTCTCTCTCTCTCTCTTTTTTTTTTTTTTTTTTTTAAGTCCTTTGGAGATATTTAAGAGTAGGAAAAATATACTGAACTGTTCAGGATGGTTTAGGGACACAGGCATGCAATAGAAGCTAAGAGGCCTAGTGGAATCACTGGTGGGCCATGGGGCACTCTGGTCCACTCTAGTCTTCAGTTTCCTCATTGGCAAAATGAGCCAATAGGTGAGATGATCTCTAAGGCTCCTCTCATTTCTGCTTTTCTATGAATCACTGATCTAAATGACAACTAGGCCTGCCTGCATCTTGCACTATAACCGACTTTCTAATCTTGAATCTGCAATATCCCACCCCTGTTGCCAAGCTAAGAAGCTCTGGTGGTGTTGCACTTAAAGCATTGGGCTGCTAACCAAAAGGTTGGAGGTTCAAACCCACCAGCAGCTCCATGGGAGAAAGATGAGGCAGTCTGCTTCCATGAAAGATTTACAGCCTTGGAAACCCTATGGGGCAGTTCTACTCTGTTCCATAGGCTTGCTGAGTCAGAACTGATTCGATGGCAGTGGGTGGGTTTGTCCACAGCAAACTGAAAATAACCACCGGACAACGGCCTGAGCAGGGGGTGGGAGTACTGGGTAGCTTGGGAGCGTTAAGACTTGGCCTCAGAATCATTTTCCTTCATAATGAATACAACCTAATTAAGCCAGATAATTGATTTCAAGTCCTGTTTCTTTGAGAACTCCAACTCACTAGTCCAGACTACAAAAGAAAGAAAGATAAAGTAGAATCAAGCCTTTGGAAATGAATATTTGATGAGAAAGTAACAGTATATGGAAAACGAAAAGAGAATAAATTGATTCATATCCTTTGGGCTTACTTTTTTCTTGACCTCTTACACTAAGCTCCTGCGACCATCCCTCCTCCACTCACTACCCTACCATTTTCTGCTCCACTGATCATTCCTCTGTATCAAGAAGCTGAAAACAACATTCACCTTGGCAACTTAGGATTTCACCATCTGAAATTTGTATAAAATATTTGCCTACACTTTCAGCACCCACAGTTCAAGTATCTACAAAAATGCATTTAAATCCCGCCAGGCCAATATTAAGTCAGTACTCTTTGCATTTATGGGATGCATGGTATTTGCACATATATCCATCTTCCTTAGAGCCCACATCTGCCTTCTTTTCGGTCCCATACCGGGCACTGAGCAAAAGCCTTGCTGCTGGAACTTGTTTCTCTCACTTGTATAATACAGCCCCGGGAAGATAAATGGCATCTTATCTGTAAAGCTCTCTGTATTTACATTGCACTTTCTTAGAGGAGGAACCCTGGTGGTGCAGTGGTTAAAGTGCTTGGCTGCTAACCAAAAGGTCAGCGGTTCAAACCCACCAGCAAGGCAAAGACGTAGCAGTCTGCTTCTATAAAGATTACAGCCTTGGAAAACCTATGTGGCAATTCTACTCTGTCCCGGAGGGTTGCTGCGAGTTGGAATCGGCTGAATGGCAACTGGTTTTGGTTTCTTAGAGGAGTTTCAAGTGCAGTGATCATTTCTTTTTTACTAATGAGAACAGAGGGCACCCTACCTGCTTGCTTGTTTGGGGTTTGAAATAAGGCTGAGGGGGACAAATGGACTGAAAAGACATTTTTCCATGCTCAGATTGTTTCCAAGAGTAAAAGTTAATTATGCCATAGCCAGTGCCCCGCCTTTTCAGGGGCTGCAGCCCCCCCCCCCGCCCCAGACTCCTGACCAGTGCTACATGTCATTGGCATTGCTACACACAGAGCCTAGGTCGACCGCTAAGTTCTCCAAGGTGTTTTATTGAGGAAAGCCAAGTTCAGATCATCTGCCAGAAATTTTAAATCTCTGTTGGAATGTGACCCATTTCAGGACAACAAAAAACCTTACTAGAACACAGTCACCCTGCAACAATAGTCGTCCTGCTTCCTGGGGACGAGTGCTCTGCTCTTTCAGAGCCTCTGTGATTACAGTCCTCCTGGATTCACTCACTTTCTCATTGTTCATGAACCCCATATCCTCCTTTTGTTTATCTTCATAGGATAAAGCAGGGACTAGCAGGGGAGCCAGTGTTCCTTCTTCATTTGTCCCAGATAAACAATTAAGCTCTGCGTGACTACTCTTTGGGCTGTTATATAAAGAAAAAAAGAAAGAAAAGAAAAAGATACCCTGTGTTGCCATTTCGTTTTCTCATCTCTGACCTGGCCTATCAATCAGCGTGTTAAAGTGGTATGCTTACCCTGGGGATAAGCCAGTAATTGCAATGTATCTTGCACCAACATTTAAGGTTGTAACAGAAAAAGTAGAACTTTTAAAATGAGTATCTGTTAAATGGAAGCGTTAGTAATCGTCTTGTGTCACCTTCTGGTTAAGAAACACTTGAGTCAGAAGTCACAATGGGTTCAGCAACCAGGCATTTATTGATCTAAAATATTTCACCAGGGAACCCCTCGGTTGTGATTTCATTCACGTGGATGCTGCAAGCAGAGAGACTGCCACCCGGAGTTAGGAGTAAGTACCTGGTGTGGACCCAAAGAGGTTAGGTTTCTTATTACATTTTGTGTTCCTCTCTTCCCCCAGTGTGGCCACATGCTAAGGTAACAGCAGAGTGGAGTGGAAAGGGTACTGAATGGAAAGTTAGGAGACCTAGTTTCAGATCCTGGCTCTTCCCCTAACTAGTTGTGTCTTGACTTCTCTCTTTTTCTTTTCTCATCTGTAAGAACAAGAGAGTTTGGCTGGATGATCTCCTGGGTCTGCCTACAGCTCTGGCATGCTAGGATTGCTCAGGTCTAGGTTGCATAAGGGGTCTCTTGAGTAGGCAAATGGTTAATGTGCTCAGCTAGTTACTGAAAGGTTGAAGGTTTGAGTCTGCCCAGAGGGGCCTCAGAAGAAAGGCCTGGTTATCTACATCTTAAAAATCAGTCATTGAAAACCCTATGGAGAACAGTTCTACTCTGACATACATGGGTCAAAATGAATTGTGGTTGACTTGACAGCAACTGGCCAGCGCTCAGTCAGGTCACATAATGGTGGTCATCAATACCTGATTGTCCAGTCCTTGGTTATTTGTAAAGATCTTCAAGTAGCCTGTACAAGGAGTACTAAAGAGCCCATAGAAGAATAACAGGAGCTTTCCTTAGAACTTGGAGCATCAAGTCTGTCTGGATTTCCACAAAGCTTTGTGGGTTTCCTATCTATTCCACAGGCAATGTTGAATGGCAAATGTTCTATTTCTTAGGTGACTTGGCACTGTCTAAAGGTGGCTGTGTTGAGGGGGAAATGCACCCTCCCCCACCCCTCTTCCATACACAAATACATTGATGCAGCTTCTCCCTAGCACTACCACCCCACAATGAAGACCCCTAAACCATGGGAGAAGCAGAAAGTCTCCCACTTCAGGCTCAGGAAGGCTGTCTTGGCTATCTACCTCACCTCTCCCTCCCTGGTGCCTTGTCCTGCAGGCACCTAGGAGGGCACTGGTTTCCTCAGCCCATGAAAAGGATGGAATGAGCAGTGAGACTAATTAAGCTCACCTGGAGGTTATACAACCTCAGATGGATGGCTTAAGAGTATTCAATGGGTCAAATGCTTGCCCAGAAGACATTGCTGTAGCCATGACTGGCTCAGTTTAAAGAAGGGTTGAGTTTCTCAAGGCAGAGGCCCATTCCATCCTCAGGCCTCCCCTTCACTCCATTACACCTCATTACATCACCCACTTTCACAGAGAGGTTAGAGTCAGGTGAGAGGAGGCAATCTGTGAGATAGGAGATCTGAGAAGAATGGAGTTGGAGGTCCCAGAGAGGGGAAGGGGACTTGGTACCTTCCCTGTATCTCCTCCCTCTTCACAAGTCAGGTACAAAGGCCCATTGGAAATATTAAGACTGAAAAAGAGAGTCCAAAGCTAAAGCAATATCAGGTTTTCAGCTGTACTAACAGCTCCCAGACAAATTGCTAATAATTCATGATCATGGGCTCTTGGCAGAAAGGGCACACTCTGCAAACTGCCTCTTTCACTGCCAGCATAATCTGATTTTCAGTGTGAAAAATGGCAGAAGCACTCAGAGATGGTCCAGTCATAGCACCTCATTAACATACACACCTACACACACACTGCACATGGTGACAAAAGCTTTCATTATTTCTGCACCAGGTCTTTAAAAAAAAAAAAAAAAAAAATCAGGTATTCTAAACTGGAAACTCTAAAGCTGTTTTCCTGATATTTTCGCATGGCTGACAGCAAAATACGAGAAAGCTTACAAGAAGCTGGGAGAGGTGAACTCAGTGCATGGGCCAGATAAGTTTTGAAAGTTGCAATAGAAATTCTTTTAGCAATCAATAACTGCCTTTTTTTTCTCCCTGCAGTGGCAGGGCCGAGCTGCCAGCTTTGACAGCGAGAGCTCGTGCCCATCTCCGAAACCACCTCCGACACCATGAGCGTGCGGCACAGCCGAGCAGCACAAACGGGACTCAGCAATGTTCTTTTTGCACTTGTTCAACAGTCTAAACACAGTGTTGTGCAGTAGCAGCAGCAGCAAGCCTCTCACTCCAGAGTCTTAACTGCTCCTGTGTAGGTTATGGCCGAGACACTTGTCGTGTCATCAGATCTGTCTTAGTCTTTTCTGTCTCCCAAGGTGATGTCTTTGTGGTTTTCACTTTGTATGGATCATCTGTCAAGAAAAGAAGAGAATAAAGGAGGGGAAAATAAAGGGCAGAGAGCTCAATAGTCGGTTCTATAAAAACACAAGGTAAGATAGCAGTCTTTTCTGTGGAGGTGGATCGAGTTTCTGAAATTTTGTGTCTCCACCGAGATCCCTAACCCTCCAGAAGAAGGAAGTGGGATGGAGCCATGGCTGCATTTTCAGTGTCCTGCAGAAATGGTGCAAATCCAAGAGCCTTTATGAGGCTAATTAAGACTCTTTTAAAGTGCTTTGCTGGTGTGACAGAAGCCAAGATGTGGACTCTTGCTGCCATATTAAAGTCAGAACTCTGAGGTGTTTGTGAACCTTCAGCGCAGCTGGTTGTACAGGGTTCCTTGCTCCCCTTTCTCCTTTGCTTTCCTCATGAATTGAAACTATTGATTCCTCTGGGAACTTAGTCACTTTATATAGGAATGATTCTGCAGAAACTAAATATGCCATATGTTTTCTGACGCTCCACAGTTTATGATCACATTTGTTTGAAAACAGGATCTTTGTTCTCAAAAGTAACCTCCATTGTAAAGAAGAAGAAGCACATACGTTCCTGAATGATTTCTGCATTATACATAGCTTTATAATTCCATAAAGTATCAAGCAGCTGTTTAAAATGCCTAAACAGATCAAAGAAAAACCTAGATAAAATGCTCTTTTCTGAATGGGTAGTTTTGAAATCCAAGTAACTGTTGGGGGCCATCCTGCTCTGAGAGTATCTTCAATATTGAAACCAAGTCAGCTTAAGTCTATTCCAGCCTCATTGACTCTGGGACAATATTCATCTTAAACTTTAGTTCTAGAAATTACTAAGTACTTCAGTGTTGTTTTTTTCAGTGCTAGTGAGGGTTTTTCTTCCTTTAGATCTCTACTTTAGGTCAAATTCTGTTTAGGAAAAAATGTTTGAACTATTCTGTATTGTAGTAGTATATTTTTGTTGAGTTAATAGTGGCCTTCCCCTATGCCTGATAACTAGTTTGATTTGCTAATCTCAGTCTGTATTGCCCTGGTAAACACGTGGAGGTGAGTTTCTACTTCAACTTGTAACTAAACAAGGCCAGTTTCCAGAGCTGTTGAATGACTTACAGGAGGCAAGTCTTCTTTCAGCAGTCAAAGGTCAAGAACCTGAAAGCTATTCACCAACCTTGTGTCTTATTCTTTATATATGTCACATGCTATTGGAGCAGCAACTCAATAAAGTAGCCCTCATTTTAAGCCAAATTAGCAAGTGTCTTTGCTAATATAACTTAAGGTAGTATCTTCTAGCCCCTAAAATGACCAGATTAGACATGAGGTAAAGGAGCATTGTGAAATAAAGATGCTTTCAGCTTAGAAAATTCAATTAGATAAACCTAAACTTCACCCTGTGCTGAGCCTTATGCTAGAGGCCAACATGTCACTGATGTAAAGATCAATTTCTCCTGAAGGTCTTCTACTCAGGCAGTCCTGAACCTATAAGCTCACTTAAGAATGAAGCGGTGGGGCTGGGGGCGGGGGGGACGGACAAGGTCATAACACTGCCAGTGGATGACAAATTTCATTCTGTTTCTTGACTCTAGACTGATTCCAAGATAGCCAGCTCAGTCACTGAACAGATACTGTGGGCCCTATAACTATGAAGGGGGCAATTGAGTTTCCTGGGTCACAAGGAACCCAGAAATTAGCATAAGGGGATCCTTCTAGAGGCGAGTTCAAAATGCTTGTCCAGCTGTCATCTTTAAAGCCTTAGGCCAGAGAGGATGACCCATTCTAACCTTCCAGGGAAAGGAATGCTATCAGTGCGAACCATGGCATAGTTGCTGCTCTCAGACATTTCATTCCTCTTATACTGAAGCTGATACCTCACATGAGTGAGCAGCCCAAGTGGTTTCAGAAAATCGTTTTCTGAGCAGATTATGGTCAGCCCCCACAGCACCTAACCAACTGCTACCATTTCAGCCCCAGCAGGCTCAGTAAATTCTTGACAGCTTGGAATCCCACCTCTGGGAGGCTTTTAGCTCCTGAAATCTCACCCCCAGAAACCTCAGGGGAGACTAGTTCCTAACTTGAAGCATGAATAAAACCTGAATGTCTGCCAAGTTCATTATCTAGCCCAACATCTCTCCTCACAGATGAGAATGAATGAAATACAAGTTTCAGAATACAATGAAATACAAAGTTGGTTCAGTTGTTGGCTTCCTCTGGCACAAGAAACCTTTTGGTTCGTGGTTGAGAGCTTTGCTGAAGTTACGATAACCAGGGCCATTTGCACAGATACATTTTTTAAAAAAAGTGAGTTCCCTTCTTGACTCAGCTATGTTTCTAGGCTGAAAGATACCTTCCTCATACCCTGCTTACCCAGGATGTTAATTAATTGCATCGTCATTTAAAAAATTACGTTGTTAATTACCGCTTTGAGTCTTCGCAACCCTGTCACACACTGGTGTTTTTATTCAATTAAATCTCTGTCTGTTGCCCATTTCTCTTGTCATTTTATGTTCCTGAGGTTTAACAGTGAGAACTGGCATAGGACACGGTAAAGCTTTAATTTCCACCCCCCCTCCTTTTTTGTGTGTGTAAATTTTAATTTTTAATCTTTGATTCACACAGATAACCACTTCCTTTCAATCAGAGGTTCAGCAAAAGGGCTTGATGATTATTTTATTCTGTCTGAAGAATACCTGCATGCCCCGTACACTGGGAATGCACCTGTGTTTTGTCAGGCCTGTGGCTCACAGAGCAGTTGGTGTGTGGTGGCTCAGCTGTTTCCTTGATTGTTCAACTTAACCAGCA